AAATTTTTTTTTTTTTTTTTTTTTTTTTTTTTTTTTAATGAATTGCTGGACACCCAGGGGAAGAACGTGGGTGACCTTGGGTTTCTGATGTTTTGTAGTGGGATGAGTAAATGTGTCCCTAAGACACACGGCTGCTGGGGGAGCTCAGCCAGGGCCATCCCTGCGAAGGAGAGAGCCCAGCAGTTTCCCCGGACTAGCCAAAAGTAGCCCTTAAAAGAAGGAGACAATCTATGTAATCTTAAAGACATCATTTAAATAAATATATAACCAGTGCTATAATGATAAGAATAATTAAAAGGCTGTGAGAAGGAGTGTGTGAGCATCACAGGGGGCGGTGCCTCCTTGACCCGTCCAGGGCTGCATCCCACCGTGCCCGTCGCAGGGAAATGGGGATGCGGAGCACGACTTTCCTGTTGTTCTCAGCCTGACCGGCGGCCACGTTATCTGTGATTCCATGTGTCCTCCCTAACGCTCTGTACTCTGCCTTTTAGGCCAAACCCTTGGTTAGGGAAAATCGCTGGAGCGTCACGACTGCATTGATTTAATTGATTGAGAGCGTCGGGCTCTGCCCAGCATCTCATCTCCACTCCCAGGCAATATTAATCAGCGCAAAAGATAACAGCGCGTGTTCTAGTTGCAGGAGGAATAAAAAGATTTCTTCCCTGAGACTCCAAAGAGCGCCCTCGGTAAAGAAAATTTTGAGCGTGTTTTCTCTTTCTAGCCCTGGGTTTGCCAGCGGGCGCTGCGCTCAGGCTGTGAAGGTCCCTCTGGACCAGGTCGCCTGCAGCGCTGCGAGGAGGCTGCCGGAGTTCAAGCAGGTACAGTTGGCTTCCTCCTGATGGCCAGGCTGCCATGGGTTTGGGATTTCATCTGCCGAATTTTATTATTTTTATCCAGAAATGCTGTGGAAAATCACAGATGGGTCTCCAGCCAAGGCAGTCACTCAAAGACAGTAAAACCATAAAATCTGATAGTTAGGGGATTGTGTTTTTTGCTTTATAGAAACTCGAGCGCTTCCTAGTGTGCAATGATGACGTTATCCGTTATAAATGGATATCCATGATAAATGGACCCGTAACGTCGGGGGGAGGCCTTGTTCAAGGAGGCAGGGCTGCTGCAGCAAACACCTCAAGTAACACCCTCCTGCAGCAGCTCTCCAGTCCAGAGCCATCGTCCTTTCCACCCAATTCTACCAAAGGGTTGGTGTTTCCATCCCATTGAGAAGCAATGCACAGACGGGTTCAGTTTTTAAAAATAAATCAGAGGAGTTTTCCCTCTCTCCCTCCTTGCTGAGGTATCGCTGTACTCCTAGTCTGTGACAGCAATAAACGGTTGTCTCGGAGCTGCCAAGCGCTGCCCTATCTGCCTTGGCTCGAGGCACCTATGGCCTCTCCACACCTTTTGCAGTCGCTGCTTTGACGGGGAGTAAAGGCAGAAGGAGCTCTCATCTTCCCATGCCTTGCACACACAACTGAAGCCGTGCTGGGGCTGGTCAACTTGGCCATCGCCTTCCTGTGGGTGCAGAAGGGATGGGGAGCTGCCCTTGGGGTGGAGAGTTTGGGAACAGCCCCCGCGGGAACAGGTCTGGGGCCTTGCTTTGCCTGAGTGTGCTTCTGCCCTAAATTAAATGCAAAAGTAAAACTCAGGGCAAAAGATGAATCACTCGCTTAATTTAGCGGTGAAATCATAAGCGAAGCACTACAGTACCTGGTGAAGGGTGCAGTGATTTCTAATTATGGATTATACAGCTAATCAGTACCAATCAACATTTTATGATCTTGACTTAATATTTAATATAATGTTAATTATAATTGCTTTTGCCACAAACTGTGTCAAATACTAGGTGTGATTTCCAGTCCCGACATGCCTCGCAGCACTGGGTGGGCTCTGGGATGGGGGCTGCTCTAGGAGGGAGCATCTTTCCCCCAAATCCCACCCAGCAGCACAAGCTCACCTCCCTGCTTGCCTTCCTGATCAGGAGTTGTGATGCTAATTAAGTGGCAGTGAGTCGCAGCGTTATTAGAATGGAGTTTTTATCTCACATAAGTACCTTCCAGCTACAAACAGGGGAAGTTCATTTAATTAAAAATAATTTTAGTGTAAGTTAATGTGAGCACAGTTCAATTACTTGGAAACATGTTTAATTTTTTTTTTTTTCCCCCTCTTTTTTCTCTTTTCAGTCCTAGCAAGAGGCTGCGGAGATAATCCAGGTGATGCATTCAGGCCATTTCTGTGTATTTAGGTCCCCCACATTTGCCTGCTCTGATTCCCACCTCTTTGCCCCCAGAATTCTGGGCATGGTGTTTGCCAGCTCTGTCATCACAGAAGCTGGAATGTTTTAATTAATGAAAACATAATATTTTAAAGCATTTTTTTCCCCACTGCTTTTTTCCCCTATCCTTTTTATGACCTAGAAAGATGCAGAGCTCCTGCCATCCCCAACGACCGTTTACTTTATTATTTTCAGCTTCCCTGGGAGACTTGTCTCAGGAGGGGCATGGCTTATTCAAAGCGTGCCCAAAATTTTGCAGCAAGGAACTTTAGGCAAAACATATCACCTCCAGAAATCCCTTCTGACACCAAAACTTCCGCTGGGTAAATCAGAAGCACTTCTGAAATTCAGAGTCTCCGGTTAAAACAGCACAAGGAAAACAGAGTGAGGTATTTTATAGAAGACAGTGCTTGGACACAGGGACATTTGTTTTAAACAAGGGGCTGTTTTTCTTCCATATTACTTAATCAAAACTTTTAGCGGGGTTTAAATTCCTCCTCTTTTGACACGAAGCTCATCGGATATAAAAAAAATGAAGGTCTGAAAGAGTGAAATCCCATAACAGCCAGACCGACCCACCACTCACATCTCATTACTGAGAAAATTGATGCAGGGGAGTGAAAGTCTCCTTTATCATTACAGATCTTGGCCCGGGGTACGTAACGTGGCTACGGGGAGCTGCTGCTGTGAGCTCGGACTCTGACATACGCTCTCCTCTCTACCGTATTGTGGCCGACCTTAAAGTCAAGCACCAGAAGATATATTTGGGGGCTTAATGTCATGCCTCGCTTTGCTACAAGACTGGCACTCCCCGAGCGGCTGCTGAGCATCACGAGGGTCATTGGGGGACAGCAAGAGCCAGGGGAATGGGTATGTTTTGGTGCAGTGTCTTTTCTCAGCCTCGGTGGTTTTTTTCTTGCCCTTTTCTCCTTCCATTGCACAGAGTCCCCCATGCCTATGCAGTCTCCTTGAAGCCTATATTTCAACTCTTTACTAGCAGGGCTGTGTGAATAAGTTGAAGTGAATAATTCCTCCTGTGAATATCACCTCTTTTTCACTATACAATTTCCTTTGATGGATTCATTATTCCCAATTATTTGCTGAATAGCTTTAGTAAATAATTCCCTGGCTGTAGATGGATGGTGAGTATTTTGCCATAATTATTTAACAGTAAAATTTTAAGCTGCGCTGGGTAAGTACAACTGCTCACATGAGTTGTGTTGATGCTTTTCCCCCGCTCTGCTCTCTAAGCAGATGTGTGGCGTTGGCTAATGGGGACACCAGGCTCCAGGCTGGCAGCAGACTCAGACAGATGGTCTTCTGGGTTTTTTGTTGGGTTTTTTGGATTTTTTTTTTTTGTTTGTTTGTTTGGTTTTTTCCCCCAGCTTTTTCTGGTAGTTTGAGGCTTAGAAACTTAGCTCGGGACTTGCTTTCAGGGCAGGAACCAGGGCACGGTGGCCAAAATGTCACTACAAGCAAATGCAGGAATATGTAACAATAGTGATGCTGCGTTCATACCACCGTCCCAGTGATTGTTTATTGATCAGCCTCAGGGTTTCACCAGCTCTATCCGTTACCTGGTAAAAGAGGTTTTCGTCCTTAAGTGCCTTCATGTCTTTTCAAAGTCGTTTTGCCAGCTCTAACCTCTTGTCTGTGCATGACAGTGGCAAAAGTCCTCGACTCCGCTTTGCACAGAGAACCTAAGACTCTCTTCACAGGCCTGATTTTTTGATCTAATTTAAACTTTATTTAAAAAAAACCAAACCTAAAAAGTAAAACTAAAGCAAATCTAGAATGTGTAATGAAATAATTAACACTTGGGCAATTTTTTAATATCTCAAATGCTCTGTAAAAATACCAGAAGTACGCTGCTGGTCCAGATATCTAATTTAACTAACCTGCACGTTCCCAAAGTCCATCTCCAGCTGGGCTTGGGCTCTTGTCCTCTGCCTTGTTTTGTCCTGGGGTCTCCCTGGGACTGGGTTGGGATTTTCTCTGGGGATTCCCTTCCCTTACAATTAATCAGCTTCTGCTTAAAAAAACATGAGCTTGTGTGATTCCTGTTGGTGTGACTGCTTAGCCCAAACCTGCAATGAAGGGGGAAGCCCAGAGGCAAAGGAAAGGGTCGGAGGCTTCACAGTGTCAGCAGCTGGAGCTGGTGGGTTTGTCCCTCCAGCACTACCAGGGGCTGCCCAGAGAAAGGCAGCTGTAGGCAGGAGGGAAAGGAGTCCTGCGAATTAACAGGACGGGGGACAACAGGGAGCACGAGTGCAGGAGTCGCCTTTGGGCTGCAGCCCCCCAAAATCAGTCGTGATTTCCTCAGCATCTGGGATGTCACAACCAGAGCTTCCGAGACTGCACCTCCTGATGAAGTTAGGCACTGACCAAGGAAAGCAGCTCTTGAAAGGTTTTGTGTATTCTTTATGGTAAGAAAGCACCTGAAAGAAAATCTGTCCTAAAGAAAAAAAAAAAAAAAAAAAAAAAAAAAAAAATGCAGAGATAGCCCCCCTCTGGCAGCAGGCAGCCTGCAGCACCACCAGCTTGGTGGCTCAAATCCTTCCCCTCCATCCCAAAGCCTTTTACATGACTTTGACCTCCAGCCTCCTGACTTGGAAAAATAAAGGAGACAAGGTCCTCACAGCTAATAGCGAAGTCCATTGACTTTCAAATGCAATCTTAGGGTTTTTTTTTTCTATTTAAATCTATCGTGTTGCATCCTTGTTTACTTTCTCACAGCCCCCATTAACTTAAGTTAATATTACCATAAAGGAAATTAATTCCACCCCACCACAAGCACATGGAAACACCTCCCATCAGAATAACTTAATATCACTCACGTGCTAATGTAAAGTAATTATATCACAGTAATACCTCTGGTACCACTACATCAGGGACTGATAGGTAAAGTCCTTGCATCCATTAAAGATCTTATAACCTCTCGTTACATACGTAGTTACATATGAAGTCCTATTCCCAGAAAAAATTAATTAAAGCCTGCAATTCCAGTATGAGCCAAATGTGGCAGGGGTCAGGCAGGCATGTCTGCCATGCACAGTCCCTTACACTTCACTTAAATAAAACATAACTTCCCAGAAGCACTCAGAAGCCCAACCTCTCCTTTGAAAGGGGGTGTTTATTAAACCTCCACCCGCTGTCTCTCTGCTGGTCTAGCAGGGACCTAAAACACCCGTGTGAAGCCTGTTCCAGACCTGGAGCCCACTGCGGTGACCTGCAGAGACACGTCTCGGGGGTGGCCTTTTTGCACTCGTGTGCGTAATAATTCCTGAGACTGACGGGGCAATTTAGGGAGAGAGGGTCTGTTCTTCCTTAAGGAGTTATAAGCTAAGAGCATCCAAATCTGGCCATCCTGAATTTTTTAAAAGCCGTCCCACCGCCTGCATTTCCAACCCCAGCCCGAGGAGCACAGAACAACGGTAGCTGGGCTCTTCAGCTGGAGCGGGGAGTTTGAGCATCTTCAACGGGCTCATCTTTCTGCTGAAAACATGCAATCAGTGGAAAAGGCTAACGAACATCAGATGCAACCAGCTGCGTGTCTCTTTTAACGCCCCCTCCCTCAAGTAACGCCGCTGCAAGGAAGGTGGACTCCTAGACCAAGCGTAACCGATATGTGGAAGCTGTTTCTACGGGGAGGATCCCACTTATTTATTTAATTATGCAGCATGAAAAACGAAGGGAAGCGTTGCAGTAGAGTCCTCAGATATATCTATACGCACAGGCACACGCGCACGCGTATTTAATATAAAATAGCGGAGTCGGAGGAGACCACCAACCTTCAAGCTCGGTTTTGTGTTTGGTTTTTTTTTTGCCATCTTTCCTGTATGCTGATGGTGAAGGGAATGTGCAGCGCCTGTGATAAACGCGGTGGTGTGGTATGCCATCAGTGCTACCTAAAAGCAAATGAAACTGGCATAAATAATTGTGCTGTAGAAAGCCTTTCTGTTGCACCTTGCCTATCACTGACAATTTACATATCTTAGGAAAACCTTTGTCAGCTTCTGTCATTTCTGCACTATTATGTGCCTTTCTGGATAATTACCAGTTAATGTGAAAAAGCAGATGGAAAAAACCTTGAAATTTCTGATAGAGAATCCTCAAACCTCTCCCCTTATCTGTGCACAGCAGCTTCCTGATTTCAAAAGAAGTTTGAAAACCTTTGTTAAAAATGTCCCTGATTCCCAGTTTGAATGAACCAAATGACATTCAGCTAAAATTATTCAGCTTTTTCCACAATTAAATTCCATTATCGTGAACTGCCAAAGTAAAATGGAAGGTCTCTTAACTAATGTGTCGGTTGTTTGCTTGTATTTTTCGTGGTGCATATTGTATAAAGCTGTGTGAAGTAGAAGGAGGATAAACAATAACTGTAATTTCGCATCAGTGAGTGGAGCATTTTTAGACCCTTCATTATGGGAACACTGGGGTTGGTGGGTTTTCTCTCTTCCTTTTCTTTATTTTTTTTTTTTTTTTTTTTTTTTTTTTTTTTTTTTTTTTTTTTTTTTTTTTTTTTTTTTTGGTTAATTCCTTTTCCTGCAAAACCCCACTGCGACTGATTGGATATTTCACCAAACTTAAGGAGCAGTGACGGTTTGGTTCTTAGCACCAGAAATGATTTCTTTATGCAGTCTCTGCATACCGTCAGTGCTCAGCACTGGGCAAGCGCACACGCTTCTCCTCTCCCGCTAACGAAGAGGCAGCGTGGCAGTACACAGGGGAAATAATTTCATTTTAAAAAATACCATTCCCACAAGCGGGGGGAATTGCCTTCCTGTTTTCTCAGTTGGTTTTTCCCTCGTTCTACTTGAGGATTTAAAATGAAGCTGCCCACGAGAAAGGCAGCAGAGTTTGCTCGTGGGCAGGATGGAGTAAAGCACGAACAACCCCCGAAGCCACGGGGCAGCTGAACCCGCGGGGGCAGCTCTGACTGAGAGGTTCCTTCTGGCACCAGCCTGCCATGCTGCCCAGCCCTCACGCCCATGGGGAAGCTATTTCTGCAAACTCTCATTCAAATAAAAGGAGGAAACTTTCTGAACGCTGGTGACGGGGATTCACGGCAGAGTTTTCTGTACAAAACGCCTTGAACAGGTTGGTGGGCTCAGGCTGAGTTTTGCTCTGCAAAGCAAAGCCTCATTCAAAGGCCGTAGCTAACATCCCTTCTGCAGTCCTGTGCCACTCAACTATTTTTTTAAGTGCTGCAGACTTCTGGCCTTCGTAGACCCTTTGGACAAATGTACGTTTGCTGAGTTATTCCTGCCCTGGTGCTCAAAACTGGCTGGGGGAATGAGGAGGAGGTGTGCTGGGCTTGGGGGGCGGGAGAGGAGAGCAAGGAGATGTCAACCTGGCAGGGCGGTGGCACTGGCGAAGGTAAAGAGGAGTGGGACAATAGTGACAGTCCTGCACGTCCCATAGCACAGGCAGGTTTGCATTCACACCAGTCCCACTGCAGAGGAATCACTCCTTTGCTATCATGTAAAGAAAAACATAAATAGTCTAATGTGAACCCCATTTCTCTTCAGTCCTTTAAACACACAACAAAGTATCTTTTTTTAAAAAAAAAAAAAAAAAAAGGAAAATGTAAGTCCGTATTGGGTGATCTGAGCAAAAACTGTTAAAAACCAAACAGATTTCAGGTTGCCCTTACTCGTGGTTACTCACTGGAGGCAGAGGTTTGCACGGTTGAAGGTATAAGAGCAAGTATGCTACAATGAAGAAAAAAACTATTTCCTTTAGAGAGCGTGGGGAATGAAAGCAAAGATGTGTTGGTGAGGATCCCTGTAACGGGAGATGAAGGAACTCGGTATCATGATGTTGTACCAGCAGGCTCTATAGACAAAGGCCGTATAGCTCTCTGCTTGTCCTGCTGGTTTATGTTGATGGTGCTTGTCTTCCTGACTGGCATGTCGCATCTACATCCCCGTAGAACGACATTTCAGCTACTGATTAAAATCATTGTCTTTTATGGCAGAGAAAGTTTGTTCTTCAAAGTAAAGAAGATTAAAAAAAAAATGCTGTTGCAAACAGTGATGAAAACCAGATGAATAAAAACAACCAAAAAAAAAAAATGTTTTAATTCCATTATTTTCAATTAGCTCTTTAATTTGATTTAAGTCATTTGCACTTGTTGCTTGTTTTACATCTCTTATTGTCCAGCATTTTATTTCACACATCTAACAGTATTAAATCAAACTGTTTTTCTAGTCTTTGCCTTCTTTTGAAGCCTCTTGAAAGTCTAAAGCAGACTTAAAAAAACAGATATTAAAAAAAAAAAGAACTTTCATCTCTCCGCAGGTTATTTGTAATCAGACCTTTCTCATCAAGGGCTCGTTTCATATGTGTTTGGGATCTGGGAATTATTAAAACTGCCAATCTATCTTGTTAAAAATATCACCCAGGCTTCGGTGTTTTGAAACTTCAGCATCACGCTTGAATTCATCAGCTGGCACAGGAGACTTGGCACTCCTGGTTGTAAGCACTTACACGGAGTAACAGCGCGAGCAGCCTGCGTAGACTTTTATTGACGTGATCTCCTACTTCACGTTGCAAACTCCTGTTCATTCGCTGCTTGGTTCGGAAGGGCTGGTGGCTCGTGCTGAGGGCTGGGATATAAAATAATCTATTATTAAAGGGGCAATATTGCTTCCCCGTGGCAAATTCTAACAAAGCTTGTTGCGTATTTTTGAAAAACCCATCGCAGCTCCACAGCTGAGTTACTTTCCCATCTCAACTGGAAGGTAACTAGCATGCTGTGCCAAGGAGGAGCTTTACAAGTCCCCAGATTAGCACCTCGGCAGCTTTTTTTTTTTTTTTTTTTTAAAAAAAAAAGTTAGCACTTAGACCTTCTATTTGATTCAGCTCTTCTTTTGCAGTTAATTTTTGCCATCTTCTTTCCCCATATATCCTACTCGCGTTTCTCAGCCGCATATTTTGGCATATTTTACCAATACTCATTGGTATTTGAATATTCTCACCTACTGCTCACAATGGCATGACTTTTTTTTTTTTTTTTTTTTTCCAAAGGTGTTTGCTGAGATTTTGACTGATTAATGCTCTCCTTGAACTTCTGATCCTCACAGTAACCCAAACCCTCATCTCTTAACCTCATCATCCCTCAAAGACTTCTAAGTTCAGGTTTTTTGTTTTGTTTTGTTGTTTGTTTGTTTGTTTTTTCCCCAGTGTTCCCATTTTTCATCCCAACATGCTCAATGAAGAATGAAACAGTTCACCCATTTTCCATTTCTGTGCAGTTTTGCGGCGTGTTTTTTCATCTGTAGCACAAAGCAGACCTGGCGGTAAGCGTTACCCCTGCCCTCAGGGAGCTCTTGTGCATTTTCCTTGCTGTGACATTGCCCATTCACCGTCCTGAGCACCACAGCCTGCCCACAGATCTGGTCAGGATCAGTGCAGTCCCGTACCTGCTCATCACCTGCATCTCAGGGACAGCCCAGCATCAGCCCTGAGTGGGAAGGGCAGCTGGCCGAGCACAGCAGCTTAGCTGAACTCTCCAGCAAACACAGCATCAAGTATTTTTCAACTTGAGCTCTTTTGTGTCTTAAATTCACCCCTAAAATGTTCGAGCATCATGACAAACTACTTGGGAGTTTTTGTAAGTGAAAAGAAAGGAGC